AGGACCAAGGTTTAGGTTAGTTTTAGGGTCAGGTAAGTTTCTGTGAGGTTAATTTTAGAGTATATGGTCAGGGTTAGGGTATAAAGTCTAAATAACATGAATGGAAGTCAATGGAAGGTCCCCACGGGGTCGAGAAACAAACGTGTGTGTGTGTGTGTTTGTTTGTTTGTTTGTTTCTGGTGACATTTGGCGGCAATTTTAAGACAAAATGCCTACCTTTGGGGACAACTGGTGCATTTGGGGACAAAAGTCGAGCCCCCATTTGGTTTAAATGCCATTGGTGGGTTGGGGGTTGGGTTTAGGACCAAGGTGTGAATTGAGTTTTGGTTAGTTTTAGGGTCAGGAAGGTACCTGTGAGGTTAGTCTTAGGGTAAATGGTCAGGGTTAGGATATAAAATTTAAAAAAAATGAATGGAATTCAATAGAAAGTCCCCACAAGGATAGAGAGACATAGTGTGTGTGTCTGTGTGTACCCAGAGTGGACTCTCCGGCCGTCAGCCTCTGCAGCATGGGGTTGAGCGTGCCGATGAACAGGTAATGTCTGAGCTGCATCACAGACAACCAGAGCAGGTGCCACACAAAGAACCAGGACAGCAAACACTCGCGGAACGTCTTCTCTGAGAGACACCAGGACGTTTTTACAGCAGGACACGGGACGGGGAGGACAAACAGAATAAGATTATGGGGGAAAAAACAGGAATAGATGATTAATTTATTGTTATGATTTCTATAAAARCACACCTTGCTTTTTGGGGGCGTCCTTGTTGAGGGGTGTTTCCTCTACGGTTGTRGGTTCAGGACCATTTGATGCCACCWCTGAGCTCACAGCCTCAGATTTACCACAAGAGACCCTGCAAAGGACATAAAGAACAAAGATTAATCTCATTTTGACAGTTTTATTTGATTAGTGAAAAAACCTGGGCTGTRATCCAGGGTTTTGTTTTTATTTCGTACTCAATGCACGTGTCAGACATGTATTCAGGTTTTCACTCGTACCCGTATGTGAAGCGATCCGGCAGCGGGTAGGGGATGAATTTTCGCGGCAKCAGGAAGAAAGTTCTGAGGACGTGAATGACGCTGCAGGAGGACAGGAAGAGGAAGGCRGCGCGAAGAGAGACACCAGACTCATGAAGCAGCTGCAGAGGAAACAACACAAGGTGGAGCTTATCATTAACATCAGTATATTCAGTTATTATCACCTGCTGCTTTTTAAAGGGTGACTGTCTCTGTAATGGTTTGTCTGTTAGCAAAATATCTCATCAATATGGATGGATTTTAGTGACACTACCAAATATTAATCTTTGGATGTCTACAACTGATAACCTTTTGGAGTTAAACAAATTTAAAATGGCTGCCACAGCTTATCAACCAACGTTTTTAATTCAGTTTTACAGATACTGAGCTAAACTCTGGTGTGGTTGTAGCTGAGAGTCATCTTTAACACGTACTCGGAATGCTAACAGATATCTGTTGAAAACTTTGAGATGCAGTGCAGCGGGTTGAGTTCCTTACAGAAAGGCTAGTTTTATTTTTATGTGTGAACGACTGTTCGTCACCTTGATGATGAGGAAGAGTGCTGAGGAAGAGTCAAAGGCCCCGTTGTAGAGAGTGATGATGGTGGATCGATGAGAACCGAACAGGTTTCCAACCTTCACGAGAGTAAAAAAAAATAATAATAATAGACAAATGTTGTTAAAGAGTCATTGTTTTTTGCAGGGGTGACTTGAGGATGCGCGCCCGCACACACACACACACATACACAAGTTTGTATTTCTATCTTTATTAGGACCGTTCATTGACTACGTACTAATAATTTCATTAGTCATTTCTATAGCCTAAACCTGACCCCTTACCCTGAACCTAACAGCCCCACAGTACATACCTGAGCCTAAACACAACTTAAACTCAATTAACACCTTAGTCCTAAATCATAGACTTAAATATATAGATCACTAGAGTGAGCCCCATCCATACCGTCCACTGGTAGTGTCTGTGACAGCATGGAGGAGCAGAAAC